TTTTCTAGAGGAAATGTCCCGCTAACTGTCGTATAATGGTAGGTTGAGGCGCAATTATCAAACGTTTAATTTACTAACAATTACGTTGTTTTTTCTAAATTAAGAAAGTGGTATCTGTGGCGCGTAATATCTGAAACGAGCTCAAGACAAGATGAAAATAGAGGCTCCAGTAAAAGAAGCTTAATTGGAACAATAAAAGAATCCAATAACGAAACATAAATAAATTATCCAATTCAGAGAATAATTCAGAAATAATGGTCATCAAATATCATTTGTAAAATTATTTAATGATAATATTCCAATATTTATGAAACTATATTTATGAATTTAGTTTTTAAAGTTTCGAACCTACGAACGGTTTTGACACTTTGACACAAAATATACGACCGTCAAAACGTTACTTTCACGTAACACGTTCACGGTTCACGTTTGAAAGCGTATGCAGCATTCACGTCCAGTAAGGCTTTTGGTAACTACGTCCTTTGGTTTTCGAACTCCCTGATCAACTCATTAGAACTTTCAGGTGAAATTTGCCCGCGCGTATAATACACGTTGCTTTAAAAGGCACCAAATTAATGAAAACGATATGTACGAAAGTATTCAACCAGATTGCATGTTGCAAGAATTTGTTTGATACACTTTTTGTACATTCTTTACACGAATACGCCCAGCTAAATTCAGACAGATTTTATGTTTGCAAATACGAAACGTAAGGAAAGAAGGAAGAGAAAAGATAAAATAATGGCAGAAGGTGACAAAGTACTAGAAAGCAAAGTGAACAGAAAAATGACTAGTAAAAGTCTCACCGAATTTTATAAATGGAGTTTTCGATAATATTTGATGTCAAGGAATCCAAAAATTTTATGTTTGCAAGTACGAAACATGAGGAAAGAAGGAAGAGAAAAGATAAAATAATGGCAGAAGGTGACAAAGAACTAAAAAGCAAAGTGAATAGAAAAATGACTAGTAAAAGTCTCACCGAATTTTATAAATGGAGTTTTCGATAATATTTGATGTCAAGGAATCCAATGTGTCGTGCAAAAGAATAGATAGAACTCCATACGAAGTGGCTGACTAAATGTTCGTCGGTTCGCTGACCCTTTTTTATCAGTCTTCCGGTTTTTCAATGCGGTTACGTGACAATCCTACGTATGAATGGTGTAAGAAAAATCACGGTCAGGTACATTAATCATTTCTGTTATAATCGATTATATACTTTACTTCCAAGTACACCTAGAAACGATTTTTAATATTAAAAATGTTAGAGTCGTACAACAACAACAAAAAACAGAATTTTAGAATCGACTGATTATATAACAGAAAATTAACTAAATAAAATTGTTTATAATTCGAATCAAGACACGCTTAAAAATTGTGAGTAAAAATACAATTGCAAATACGTATGCATGTGGTATAAGAAACGCTTCATTTTGGAATTTAAATTCGTAATTGGTGCAAAACTAATAAAAAACGCACGATATTTGTTATCGAGATGTGAATCGAAATCTGACCCTTTAAATAATGTAGAAAAGAAAGTTGCAATATTAAATAGTAAACTTGAGCGATACGAAAAATAGAATTATACTTGCACCAAACCTAGAATATAATGTACTCAAAATATTGTTGTAAAGCATCATGCCAACTTAACTGCTTTCGATTATAGTTAAATTGTACAATTTACTTGAAAGAAGTCGCGCATTTGTTACTATCGCACGCGCACCGTCGCTACATTTACCTCGTTTCATTTGCCGATTCAAAGTCGTGGCCGCATCCCAAGAGATCTTATCGCGTTTATTTCCTGTTGTTTCGCGCCAAAACTAATTTGTTCCCCGACGTTCTCTTATACTTTTTTCGCGTTCACGTTGCTCGTTCGTATACTTTCACGACCGACTGTACGTACGTTCGACCATCCATGTGTGCAAATGACCTCAGAAGGAAAGAAAAGAAGAACTTTTCGACGCAACAGTCGCTCCATCCATAATCCTCTAAAGAGACTCGACTCTGTACCAAAACCGTCGAAGGCGTGTAGAGCTCCAGGAAACGCATTGCCCCTCGAAAAGGTTCTCTCACGAAACCTTCGATATCCTTCGAAAAAGAGATTACTTTAAGAATTTTTATTTCGCGTAACAAGTAATCGTGGAACGTCAGTCCTTTTACACAGATATATATATGTTTGTAGTTCAACTTTACCATTTGGATATATATTTTCTTTCTTTAACCCTTTCTCTATCTCTTCTTCACTCAATGCTTCATTTCCTTGTTGTACAAAATCTTGACGAAATAAAGACGGAAAGTTACAAAATATTTTATCTTTCGAGACGATTACTTTTAATTATATTTTAGAGATTACTTTAAGAATTTTTATTTCGCGTAACAAGTAGTCGTAGAACTACACTGATATTCGAAATATATATCGAAACTCGCTTGTTCTATTACAAAGAATTTAATTCGTATGAAAATATAATGAAAAGTAATTGCATCAAAAGATAAAAAGTACAAGTAAAGTTTTTACACACACACACGTTTATTTACTCAAAATATTCTCCCTCTGCGTTTTTCTACACTGATGTATATGTTTATAGTTCAAGTTTACCATTTAGATATATTAGGTTGTTCCGAAAGTTTCGTCCATTTCATTAATAAGTAATACATACACAATATTTTATGTCTAATGTAACATTATTAAATTACGTACGATTCATTTCGCTCCATTACTGTTACAACATTAACATCTAAGAAATTAGGTTGTTTATTTACATAAACACTGCCACACAAAACAACTGAGTGCAAGTCACGGAAGAAACTTTCGGGACACCCTAATATATTTTCTTTCTTTAACCCTTTCTCTATCTCTTCTTCACTCAAT